GTCTGGAAATCTGGAGGAGAGGTGATTATTTTCATCTGGTTTATATTTTCGATTTCCTTTTCTGTTCTTCTTTTTAAAAACATCTTTTTTTCTTCTTCATCATTGTTTCATTTTGTGAAGTCCTAACAGGCTTTATTGTTGTCTGTTCAGATTACTTGATAGTAATTTTGAGTCGATATCTCCCCTCGAAAAGATGGTGAAAATGATGAAATGGTATAGGTTTAACGCCCCTATCATTATTGTTAGGTTATTTAAGAGGCGGGTCCTCCGAGTTTTTTTTACCGTCCATCTCCGAAAGGACTGAGCCAGTGTAAAGTGCCTTTCCCAAGGACACAAGGTCGGGCCGAGCTGAGGCTCGAACCCCCGAACCCGCAATCTCAATATTACGAGTCCGGTAGCCTAACCACTAGGCCATCCACAACGCCACTCCTCGAAAAGATGACAATGCATGCTTTACAATCACGTTTGTTTCCTGAGCACACGTCGGTAACAGCTTTTGGAGAGAACAAGAGAGAAGAGACGGTAGTTAGACAGACAGACAGACAGACAGATAGATAGATAGATAGATAGATAGATAGATAGATAGATAGATAGATAGATAGATAGATAGATAGATAGATAATACTGATTCAATGGTAAGAAAAAAAGTTTAACATGCTAAAGCCAAACCTTTGAATCATGCTGCAAAAAAGTCTAAGAGAACAATAGTATATAAATCTATTGTTTGACATATGAGCATTGAGCATAATATAGCATGCACATTTCCCTTCACAATGGTATCCAGACCATATGGTTGACCAGTGGTCAAAAATAATTATTATTATTATCGTATGTCAACCACGCGTTGGTTTTGAATCTCCAGTACACTGAAATAAAGATCACACCGGCGTGAGCGGTGTGGTGGTTAGGCGCTTAGCTGTCGCACGCAGATGTCCAAGGTTTGATTCCCCGAATGGAGAGGACTTTTTGTCAAGTATCTCGATTACCCCCCCCCCCCCAAACCACCACCACCACCCCGAGGGCGGTGCTACTGACTGAAGTGTCTTTAGGTCATTCCCGAAGGGCGGGGGGGACATTAATCTGTTCTTATGCATAGCAGAATAATTCTAAATGGGCTGATTCACCAATGTCATGCTCATAACTGTGCCTGAACTGCAACAGGGAACTGCTGCTGTTTCTTTCCTAATCCTTACTATCGTCTTTTTTTTCCTCTACTTATTTTGTATTTTTGCCACATTCTTGTGACCCGCTATTTCCGGAGTGCCTTGATAGTCGAAGCAGATTTTGTTCTGTTGAAGCTAGAGAGGTGAGCAGAGTAAGTCTGATTCCCTGTAAAGACTTCTCTGTTGGCATCCACCCTTGGCGCTCATATGACCTTATGCAGTAGCGAGCGCCGTAAAACCTCTACTGAATAAAATAAAGTACAAATTAATGTATCTCGATCGGTCTTTCTGCTGGAACGTATGCTGTATCCCTCTCAGCCCAGGTTGGCCCCGGCAGGTATAAGGGTTATTGAAACCAGTCTCCTAAATTATATTATTAGTGATGTCATTGGGGGCGTAAAAGCACCTACATTTTAAATTCAGGTAAACAAAAATATATGTATCAAATTAAGGAGCGGGACGCTAATGAGAAAGTTTGTAAAGTATAGCTAATATTGTAGTGCGCCTTTTGTACTATGACACCGAATAGGTCACGTAGAATAAATTATGTGTCACGTTTCGGTGGAATTGGGCGCTCGTCAATTTGTGGGCATATGGAGATATTGGTATCATCTTTAAGCTTGTTTATTTTTCTTGCATTTACTTTTTTTAAAAATAGCAATATATCTTGAAAAAAAAGTCGAGATATTTTCGATTGAAGGAGGTGGGGTCGCCAGGTGTCAGAGAAAAATTAACGAGAAAACGACTTTGGGGATTCCCAAAGTTTCAGTGTTCTCGGAAACTGCAAATTTAATTCTTGTGTGTGTGTGTGTGTGTGTGT